AGTGAGCCGATCTCAGTTTGCGTTCCCTCGATTTTTGACAGTTTCCCCCCTCAAAATAAGAAACAAAACTACCGCTATTAAATAGAACCATGTATTACAATTATCATTTCAACATGATAGATCTATTATATATTCCTTTATTAACTATGATATCATCATGGTTGTGGAAAGTCCTCAGCTGGCGAACCGAGTCCTTGCGCCGGGAGTGACGGTACATTTTACCGTGAGTATTAAAGCCGCTAGTACTAGTAAGCCGCGCGCCTTACAAAAATTATAATAATTTTTCTTTTGAGTCAAAAACCGCCGTGAATTTAAGGCATGAGTTACCGATTTATATTTCTTCTACGGCAGATATTTCTTGTTTCGTCACGTCCCATGACGTCCTGTGAGAGCGGTAGGCCGCCGCTGGTACAAAATGTACAAGACATCGTCTGCCCACTGCTACACTTTGTTGACATACATTGTATTACACAACGTAATTTTCCGCTAGAAATAACTATAGAATAGCATTAAAAGATAGCACAATTCGCTTCACACAGTCGACACATGGATAAACCACAAAGTTATTTTACGAATCACATGTCCACTTGCATCTGGTGCTGTTATTTTTCAAGGGGCAACATCGCAACACATTAGCGGACGCCCCAGGAGGTGGCAAATTGCTATTGTCTTGTCGGCGCGCAAAACAAACATGAAATCCGACCCTATCACATTAACGCAAACGGTAACGCGTTAGAAATAATTTCTGACGATTTTCTAACCATTTTCTGACGAAAATCTAACCAAATACTGACGATTTTCTAACCATTTTCTGACGAAAAAATAACTCGTTAGTAACGGGGTACCCGGTTAACTATAACGCGAACGGTACTGTACATGACAACAAGTTCTGTCCCCAGATTGTACAACTTCAATGTGTGCATGTGATTTTAACTACATGTAAGTGGACAATACCTGGTACACTTGGATGCCTCTCTGGCAGACTCCTAGGAGAATACTGGCTGGGTTTTCCTTCTTTTTCTGCAGATAGAAAAATAGTAGTTGTTGACAAGAATCCCAGTTTCACAATACCCTTTAATGCAAGTATGTCCAGATGAATGACTTTTTGACTCGCTCAATCTCAATAAATATTACTGGCCAAAAACCCCCGTCACTGGGAGGGGGGATTGAATGGGGATGTAGGGTGATGTTTCCCTGCCTGCCTTTGGATAGCTGAGTGTACAGGCTTCCATCACTGAGCCAGTCGTGGAGTTGTATTCTGTGATTATATACAGAAAGTAGGAATAATTCAAGCTGACTGTATGGGCTATGAGTGGTGCAATCCTTGGAAATATGCTGCCCATGCAAAACATCACAGTGTCACTATCTCATCTGTCAAGTGACCCGGCACTGACACACCACACTCCCGTGTTAACAAGGTCAACCTCCCTCCATGTACACAGGACCTGCTATCTGCTGACATCTCAGCAAGGCCCTGTAATAACTCTTTGGTCTGTGTGAAGTGCTGCTGAGATAAGCCATCGCACGGTTCAACCAAAGGCCACGCCGAAAACTGTCTCTGTAAAGTGGTGCTTACAACTCCCCAGGCTGACATGTAGTGGATAGCAATCACTAGTGGTCTATTTCTAGCGTTGTTCTATTAGAAAGAACAGAGGGTTTTGTAAATGCCTTAAATTTAGATACGTAAGCAGTTAACGGTATATTTACACACCGGTATGTCACAGTTGTTTTCTAGTGGTTTCTCCCCAACAATCTGAAATTTCCTGAAATTTGGCAACAGAACACCTCTGTGTGGTACGAACTAAATACAAAACACAGGCATCAGCCTACCTTTTTGACCCTGTATATGTGCATGGCAACATCCTCTAGTTTGATGGCTTGTTTGATGTACTCAGTCTGTGCCTCTGTGGTGGCCATGGCTTGGTGCTCCTTGTGCATGCTGGGCATGTGTCTGGTGATGTAGTCCTCTCCTCGCTTGGCTATCACCTGACAGAACACACAAATATAAATTTATCACAAATGGAAAATTTGAACAGGTTACTTACTAGTACTATGACCCCTATTTATTGTTTTCTGTATGTACATAAACCTGTAGTCTACTAAAGATTGAAAGAATGTATGCTGCATCACATTCTTGATCTTTATGATTGTGTATATTTTCCTTCTCTTTGTAAACTGGTATGATTAGACCAAAGGTTAGTCTAGAAATTGGCCATTGTAAAAAATCTGACAAAAGAAACTAAGATTTTTGACAATGGATTCTCTGTATTTTAGTGTATAAAACTGTAAAATGTAATCAGCAAGCAAAACAGCATTACACAATTTGTACATGTTCCACCCACATCCTCCCCCATACATTTGGCCTATCATCATGATAAGGTACATCATGATAAGAAGAGCTCTTAGTTGCAGCCATCAAAAGGAAGCCTCCCACCCATATCAGTTTATTTGATCACTGTCCAAACTGGTTGTCTGATCAAAGCTACCATGGATCATGTCCTCCTCACATCATTTGTTCCTGTTCAACCATGCAGGTCTCTTCAATCTTTACTTGATGGGGGATTTAGGGGCACTTAGTTAGGCTTACCCTTGTCTTAATCCAGCCTCATGTCTAACATGGGGCACTAACAACTTTCTAACCACTATGAGTCATTGTCATCTTTTTATTGAAATATGTATACATGTAGTTTCACAAATGTATTATTCACCTCCAACACAGTGTGTTATTGTTCACAGCATTTTTCTACGAGAATAACGTTTTATTGACACTTCACCATGGAACGGAAGAATGGTTGATAGCAATCCAGACATGAAGTGATAGATGCAGACTTTCTGGCTTCAACATTTCTCCAGTTTCTACAAGATATTTCCAGACTAACATATTGAACTACAAGAAACCGGCAAAAGGTTGTGCCTTGTCAGGAGTAGGCTTCCCAGAAATAGACAACTTTTGTACTTAAGATGACGTGCAGCAACCTTGCAGATGCAAGATCGAGAACTTTCCCTACATGCCCAGACACGACCAAAGAGTATGATGCAAGGTGGACGTACCCACTGTGGGAAGTACTTGGAGGGTTGGAAGTACTGTCCCTTGTGTTTATCAGTGCTGAAGTTTCCCATGTCAGCCTGTAGGGCCAGAGCTGCCAGCACGAAGAAGGCCTCCTCCTGCGGAGGGCCCAGGAAGGACTGGGTGACGTTCTGTCTCAGCTGCCAGTAGTAGTGCTGTCGGCTCACTCTGTCCCTGGGTGGGCAACAGACAGTGACATTAAGCACGCTGGCTTTCCAAGGTTACTGGGTGCATCTGTAGCATGTCAAAGGCAAAAGGTAACTGCCTGATGCTACATTGTGCAGCAAACACTAGTAACAGTAAAAGTCTTAGATTTGGTCTGTAAATTATGATCGTGAGTAAGTAAGAATGAAGTGACTGTCTTCTTCACTGGAATATCATTTATTCTTTTGTATATTAAAGGTGTTTGTTTTAAGGACCTGCTGATGTTTGTTCTGTTGAACAAACAACAACAACTTAAGATGATCCATCTTCTTAAGTAACAAGGTGGGCCCCACCCTGAACAAGACCAGTGTGCCATGCTCGGCTGCCTGTAACACACAGTAACATAAACCTCTGTCATGCCAGCCTGCCCCTGTATGGCTTCCCATGGGAGCTCCAGACTGTTACACCATGCAAGACAGGGTTTCCACACACCTGCTGGCATTACAACATCAACAGGATGTGGCCACACAGGTGATGTCACTGATGATCATCACACACCTGAGGCACCAGTAAAGCCAGTCACCTGTTCTATCCCATGCCTACCTGCAACCTGAGCTCCATTCCTTTATACAGTAATGACATGGTTGTCTGGTAGCAATGTTCCATATTGTGGCACGGATTCATAAGCGGTTCACAGAAACCGGTGGGTGGGAAATTAAGCCGCGTCGCCGCTTTCCACATTCATGTGACAAAAATGCTTGAAATTTCCTGAAGAAAATCATTTTGGAATGTCACATCTGAATGATTTCCTGGCACCCCTGGGAATTTTTCAGAACAAGGAAAACTCATTTATCTCAAAAAACACGTTGTTATCTCAGCAGCCAGTACTTTCACATGAGTACTCCTGAAGGAATATGATAGGATTTCCCTGCATGCCTGTTGGAGTGATGAATAACTAATGTAGCAGAAAAGTCTGGGTGTGAGCACAGATAAGGATAATCTCTCCCCAACACTTGGGAGTTAGCAGGATCTGGTCTAAACTGCAGAAATATGCAAAACAAGCTGTTTCAATCTGTGTTTGTTAATTGTCATCCATTCTTTCTTCCCCTAGAGTCTACTTTTACCAAAGTTTTTCCTTGCACGCGTGTAACTGTCCATCTAATAGTGATGACTTCTTCACCAGGTAGACAGTCATAATCAATCCAATACTGTTTAGACAATGGAAATTAGAGCTAACAAGATGCAATCAGACTTTAATCAGGATGGACAGGTTTCCCGAAGAAAATATTATTTGATGCCTGTTGGCTTCTGTAGGTGTGGCGTGAAGTATTTTGAACACAACTGGAAAGATCATGTTATACCTGGTAAACAAAATAATCAATACAATGATATCAAATGCTACAACTTGTTTAGAAGACAGATGCGTAGATGTCACCATGCTTTCTCAGAAGTAAGTAGGAACTGTAGTTATCTCTTAAGGTATAAGTCTACTCCCCACTTCCCACTGACAACATCCATTGAAGTATACAGGTGTTGAGTTACCTGATGAGCCCTCCATGCTCCACATAGAACTGCACCCGGAAGTAGAGGGTAAGGAGAGGAGCACCTTTCTTGTCCAAGCCCTACAGTGGAAGTGAACATCAAGTAAGCAACAACAATCAATACTGTGTGCTTCAGGGCATGCACTACTAGAGCATACTATTGATATTATGACAAATGAACGGTGCTAGTGATCAGTCTCTGTCATATCTAACATTGCTCACTTTATTAGTTTAAAAATTAAATAATTGTAGCTTAGTATTTAATTTCTAGTGATGAGGAGTAGGCCTCCATATCAGATCAACTGAAGAACATCAAGTGTCTAGCAATCCCGACACTTAAAATTTTTTACAACAGCTCTTCTGTAACATTTCCTGTTCTTCCAAAGAAGGTAAACAATCAAGGTTACAGATTATCCTAGATATGGTGACAGTGATATGCTTGATGACGCCCCATCTACCCAACTTATCAGGTCTGACTGTCCCTGTAAATAAACAGTCGGAGGGAGAAGCATTTCCTATGTTTCCTGGGACACAAGATGTAAACAAACTGGGACAGATCAATCAAAACAGCAGCTTCAGTTCTTTCAAGTTTCAGGATGGATTTATCAAGTTCCCTACTCTTCACTGTTCTGTTCCTGAGTTGTGTCTCTTTGGGTATATCTAAGCCTGGCTCCCAGCAAAATGCCACCCAAAGCCTGATCCACCTGGTGCATTTCTTAATCACTCCTTCCCACACAAAAACAGAAAATGTTCCTCTGGGAATTTGACTTATCAGTGAAATAACAACTTTTTACTTCCTTCAGCTCAGGGGAAGACCATTAGTTGGAGACCTCAAGAGTTATTCTTAGAACTGGTATCGTACTGTAGTTAAAGCTTGAACAACTGCAATGGCACACTGTAGACCTACAGATTTTTCACATTTTCACGCTGCCAACTATGTGCCAAAACAGATTTAGGTATGTGTCTTTTGTGACTGAGAATTTGCAGTAGCAAACCCTACATTTGAGCCCCTGGAAATTGGTAAATCAATATGGTGGAAGAATTTTCAATTTCCAATTGCTCCACCAGCTTACATGGGTCCATGCAGATTGGGCCTCTAATCTCACGCCTATCTCCATTATGCAGCTAGAGGAGTTGAAGATTTGCCTTTGGCTTTTTGGCTCGTTTCACTGGAGGCCTACAACCATTACCATGGCTTCCAAGGCTTTAAGGATACTTTGCATACATTAGTTTACAGTTCATTCAGGTATTATAGCGATTCTATAACTTACCTTGTTCCACATAAATTTCCAACACTGAAGAACACATGAAATAGACAAAACACTAGAATTGTCACCATGGAAATATTTCAATATTATTCATTTATTGATAACATATCAGGTAGTCTTGTCTTGCTTTGTAACCACACTTTGAGTTTTAGGCTATAACAATTGATTTTCTTTCCTGCACTTATCAAAGTATGATAATGCCTGAAAGAGACAAACTGAATAATGCAGCTGGTGTTTCAGTTTTCTTGTCTCTGTTTGGACACATAGAAAATTCAGGTCAATGCACCAAGAAAATGGCTTTGTATGGCCTTACAATATATACCTTACTTGAAATCAGTTTTGGATGTATTCATTGACCGACATGGCCCTTGGGGCAGTTATGTGATATCCGCACAACGAGACAGAAAAATGATGCCATTACTTACATGGCTGCTGTCCGTGCGCCAGCCCCGTGGTCCGTACTTCGATAGCCGCTTCTGCGGGTCGATAAACTGGAACTCCCCATCTGAAACACATTACCACGTGCCATGATGAAATACAGGGCTTATCGGTAATGGATTTGGAGTTGACAGAGGAAAACTGGCTGCTTCCTCTGAGCGTGACATCAAAGGGAGGGGATTGCAGCAGACAGCATGGGGAAATGCTGAGCAAATAACAGTTTGTCAATCTATCAATCGAAAATATTGCATGATATGTGCAGTTTTTCTGTGACATTATGGTAAAGATAGAAAAAATGACAATCACCCTTTGAATATATGATCTTAAGTCTAGAGGACGTCCGGCAAAATAATATCAAACTGTGATTCACACTGCAGAGACAGCACAATTTACTACCAGAGTATTTAAAAAACTACAAATCATGAAAAGCATTGTGGCACCTACACAATACCTACATGTACAGTAAGGACCAACCAAACATTAAATCACAGCATGATGAATTTGAGAAGACTTGGATCAACCTTATCTCACTTCCCAGTTGGCCCTGGGCCCCAAACGAGGGGGTCCCCGAGGCAGCAATACATTTGAGACAGGAACTTTTATCAAACATGAAGTGCAAGTGCACCATGGGCTATAAACAAAATTTGTAGCATGGCAAAGTTCAGATTTCACGCCAACTGGGAATTTACACCTCAGACAGGTTTATTGGTGGCCCTCTGGTGGGTCTGACACAAAAGTTAGCTGGCCCACTGCCAAACCCTACTGCATGACTTGGTTATGGAATGCTTGGTGGGATAATCCTGCTTAATACAACTTTTGATTGAAGAGTAATATCTATGTTTAAAAAATAAATACATATATGTCAGACTTTAAACCCGTGCTGATATGTTTTTGGAAACAATGTGAAATTGGTAAGTGTCCCACAGCACATACATGTAGATCACTGAAATATCCCTAAAGAAGTTAAAAAAGCAGCATGCATATTTCAATTTCATACATCCAGCAGTTATGATGGCACTGACGTGATGGTTATGGAGATTAATTCATTTCTCTTTAATTTTCTCTATGGCATAATTCACACAAATGTGCAGTTAGAAAAATGACAAGCATGTTCATGTGTTTACTCCGCTATATCCACAATATTACATCAGGAGAGAAATCTAGATAGCAGTGCACGACTTCAACATCCATTATATCTCACTTTATGAATATGCACAGAGCAGAACTTTTGAGTACAGTGGCGTTACATGTAGGTCTGACTTTGGCTTGTGTTACCCTTGGGAGGTGAAGCTATGTGCGATGGAGCGTGTCATGGCTTGGCTGTGTCACGCTGCTCTCAGAAGGGTCAAATTCAAGGACAACATTCGGCTGCCTATCACCTGTGTCTCATCAGCTACTTAGCACAACACACAGTACGTGTGGAAGAGCACGTACATAAGTCTTAATCTGCTACCATCAGAAATGTTCTCTTGGGGTGAATATTATTGAAGATACAGATGCAATGACAATTCAAGGGCACTTTTGGGAGTGTGATATTTGGTGATTGAAGAGCTAATTTGCTTGCTCATAACTTTTCTTGGCAATTACCTTGTAAGCACTACACCAGGTAATGGTCTGAGGGATCTTTTCATTTTAATATCATTGGCATAAACCTAAATGTTCACCTAGGGATTATACTCAAGGACAGCGTAGTATTTGTGACTGCACATAGTGTAGGTTTTACTGTGCAGTAAGTGGCACATGTGAAACCAATAACATTGCTGTCATGGTTTATCATTTATTATCATATAGCCGGACGGCGTGGACCAATCAGAGGCCCGGATACCCGTGCTGTTATTTCCCGATAACAGCACATGTGGTGTTATGGCGGAATAACAGCACATGTCGTGTTATGGCTGATACCATTATGTTATAGGGTATAGGGGCATGCGACTCTTTCTGTAAACCTTTGTAGCATTTTTCTGTCCAATAAACTTTTTTGTTTAGCTTCATTTAAACTACAATTTGCATTAAATGAAATTATCCATATTTGTTTTAAAGCGTATAATATATTCGAATGTATTTTTATGTATGTATATATATTAAAGCTGTTGTATTTCAAACAGGAATTGTGTTGATTGACAGTTTGGATAGGCTATATGATAATAATTTTAATGCACTGCCTTTTCCTCGTTGTATATGGTGTCATAACTGCATGGGCAGCTGCCATAACCACCTCATAAACCACCTCGTTCGCTTCGCTCACACGGTGGTTTATTCGGTGGTTATGGCAGCTGCTCATGCAGTTATGACACCATATACAACTCGGGGCAGTGCATTAACCCTTTATTATCTATAGTATTTGTATTGATGTTACAGGTACCATGCCTGTAGCCAGGATTTTGAATGGGGGGGTTCTTCACACTGCTTGAGGGGACCTCGAGCGCCGAAGGCGCGAGGTTCCTAGGGGGGTCCGGGGCATGCTCCCCCGGACAATTTTGAAAAATGAACCTTCTTAAACGGCATTTCGTGCATTTTTGAGAGGATTTCCAAGAAAAAAATCAGAGATAAAGTTTTATTCAATGACAAAGGGAGCAGTTTTTCTACGATTCCAGTCCATCTTTTAAAGAAAAATCTTGGACCTTTACATAAAAAGTGGACCAAAAAGTGGACCTTTACATAAAAAGTGGACCAAAAAGTGGACCTTTACATAAAAAGTGGACCAAAAAGTGGACCTTTACATAAATAGTGGACCAAAAACTGGACCTTTGAGCCTTGTGGGGGGGTTCTTCCGAACCCCCCGAACCCCCCCTGGCTACGGGCATGGGTACGTATACCAGTGGCATCTTAGACAAAAGAAACCCCACTAAAATATTTCTTATCAAGTTTAGGCATCATACATTACCTGGTAGTTGCAGTATGCATGTAAATTTATACATATAAACCTAAGTGCAAGGGCGAGTACAAGGTTACGGTTGGCATTCTCAGCATGACACCTTGCATTAGCAATTTCCGTGACAGTTGATGTTGCTTTTAGGGGCAAAACTGCCCAAGAGACAGACTGTTTGAATATAGTGAAACCCCAGAAGCCTAGGGATAATACTTTTATCTTATAAACTGTGTTTTTTTTGGGCTAACAAGACAGTTGAACAATGGTTCTTTTCTACAGGCACTCTGTTACACCTTTTCCCTGCACTTAACTGATGTCACTTTTCAAGTACAGAGCAAGAGCATACAAAGAACCATGGTGTAACTAAAGCTGTGGTTTAGGAAAGTAGGCACCACAGCACAAAGCAGGGACAATTACATTAAGTCCTCCTTTCTGCTCTTTTCACCTGCATGTACATTGTATACACCTGTTCTGTCCCTTAAAGCAATTAGGTGTTCCCTTCCAGTACATTGCATACACATCCGATTGCCAACACTCGCATGCTGGCTATATGACTCATGTCTGAAAAATGCTGAGATGACAACCCTCCTTTGGATTCAAACAACATACTCATACACACACATATTTTTTAACAAATCTCAGCTGCCAGAAGGTGCCTGGGGTTTCTGCTCTGGGACCTTTCTTCCTGCCTGAAACAAAACTGTCATTTCCTTTACTGGGAAAAAAACACAGAAATGCAGAAGTTGCTTTTACCAGAGGAAGCAAAAATGTCAGTTTGCATAGGAACAGGAATTTACATAATTCCGGGGTCTTATTATATATTTACTCTTGTTTAGAATGAACAAGGAGGCAAGGACTATACAAAATAGACAAGTCAATCCTGATTTTGGATGTTATATTTTTCTTGCGCTAATCTGCAAATTAAAGTGAATTGTTGATTGGAATTTGTGAAATGCAGGGTTATCATCATGGGTTAAGGGAACACCTGATATACACATTCATACTAGACAGTACAGAACACTCACTTCCTCATGATGTAAGCACAAGCAAAAACAGTATCTAGAACCCAGGAAGACATATTTCTATCCAAGTTCTGGGAATTTGTCCAAATTAGCTACATGTCTTGGCATGATGAAATACATGTACCACTATTCCCTACAGGTGTGGTCACATTGATCTGCATTAGCCATCTCTCTCATCCATGCTCCTCTGTCCTAATTATTCTGTTGAAATGGCTTCATTTGCATGCAGTTCATGGGATTTGATAAGATGATTAACTGTGTTTTCATGCCAATCATTCTTCTTTTAATTAGTGTTCTATTATCAGAATTTGGCTTGCTTCAAAATTTTTGTCATGTTTGCTTCATTAATTTCCTCTGTCTACATTCCATAACAGAAGAAAGGATACTAGTATTAGTAACATGTGTACATGTGAAAATTTTGCTTGCCACTAGTTAACCGTGAACAATTCTGATACTGGGGTGCTTTTTACCAGTAAGTTTGTTCAAATGTATATATCATGCAATAAAGAATCTCTATGTAAGACCTTAGTGTGTATTACAGAAATTTCAGACAGGTGAGGTCATACATTAGTCAGCAAAACAGCAGATCATTACCTCATACACTACAAGTCCGTAATGCTATAACAGCAGGGTCTGTTAAGCTCAGGGTATGAGTATGATATCCCGACAGGCTAAGATATGATCTACACTTCCTGACAAACAACCCTGCTTACTGGACTCATTATCGGATCTACCTGGGTGGACAAAGGCACTGATTTACCTGAGTCATAATCTTACAGAAGAGCCATAATCTTACAGAAGAGGTAACGAGTCAAATAACGAGCACCTCCTGAATAAGCCACCTGTAGTCTTTAATTATGCTCCAAATGAATCATTCTGCAAAGCAGTTTAAGATGTACAATTTATCTCTCTCTGTAGAAACGAACGCAAAATTATGACACCCTTAGAAAACTCAAAGAGTGTGAATAACAGCTATAACAAAATGGCCATATTAATAATAGTAAAAATGGGCCATATGGTAGATAATCCCAAAATACTAAGTAACCATAAAAAGCTTCATGTGTGCCTCTTAAGCAATATGTATGATGAAACCAAGAGTCTGAGCTTTCTTTAATGTCCCTGCTGTACTTCAATGAAATCATAAATTTCTTTTCATGGTTAGTCCAGTCCATGCACTTTGCACAGAGGACTACAAGGCAACATCACTTCACTCCAAGTCCTTCTAGTCGTTTAACAGCTCCTCATGCCTTTTCCACAGGACAGGTTCACACAGTAGAAAGCAGGCATATGGTGGATAATTCATTACCCCATTAGGCTAAACCCCTGTGTGCATATATTGGTCGGCCATGGTACATTAATCAAATTTCCCTTTTCTTAATGAAGCAGAGAGAGATGTTTTCCAATTATTACGAGCGTCTGTTCCATTAGTATCAATCTAATCTTATTTTGGAGACTCCAGAAAGTTTATGTCCCATGGCGGCAAAGCTCAGGATCTTTCATCTACTCTCATGCCTGTTCTGGCAGCCCCTGTCCCCACCCAGCTGATTATAGTTTACAGAAGGAAACTTTTTTTTGTTGCTGTCATTTTTAACCCTGAACAGCGGCCTTTGCCATCATAACTCTTAACATTCCTTACCCATGACAATCATGCATTTTCTAATAACCATCAATTAGATCTGTTATTCTCTGACATTATAAGGATTTTGAAAAATCCTGCAACAAGTAAAAACAGGAAATCTTCACTTCCTGTACAAATATAAGCCCAAAGGAAAATTCCTTCGGACCTAGATGTAAAATTGCTGAAAACAGAACTTATATATGCATCTTCCATTCCCTCTGAGACTCTAAAAATCTGTTTCTGATGGTACAAGCTGATGAAATCTGTTGCAATCATAGCTTGGTTGCAGATCTAGATAGGTTTCTAGTATTAGTACAACATGTAGATCCCACTGATTGGTGGTTAGCAGTACGTGGCAGCAGGTTGTAATGATGGTTTGCCTGGGGCTATTTGGTCTTCCGTTTTACAGGTGCTTACGGACCATTGTGTTGTGCTTAGGGTCTAACTCCGGGGAATACCTGAAGCATGAGATCTGATGTGGAAATGTGGGGGTGACATCACGACAAATGCTCAGTTTGCCAACATTATTACCATTCCGCAAAGTATCCCTTCAACAAAGTATAAACACTGTTAAGTGTCTGACAGGAAATCCAAGTATTGTGCTTTCTATTTGAAATAGTATTGTGGCAATGTAGGGCACAAAAACTTGTTTTATTGTCAAGAATTCTCTACATGCCCGCACGATAAGCCCTGATGCACCTGTTATTGGCGGCACGGTACCAAACTCACCTTTTGCCACGGCAAGGCCGAAAAAGTGAGGCTCCTTCAAGTCCAGCAGGGAACACAGTTTGTTAAACAGGTCCTGTCCTCTGGCCTTTCCCTGAAAAGTAACATTCAAAACAGGTTAGAGGCTACAAATGGATTAAATAGAATAAAACATGTGTTCTAAGGTAGACAGGCTTGAGCATACTCCATCAATAACTGAAAGTCACATTTATTCAAAAGTACATGACGTTCCTTCAGTTCTGTTTGTTCTGACATGTATACCATCTTGAGACTAAAAATTCTCATCTTGAGACTCAGAGTCTCTTTTTTCACAGAGTTTTGCCCCTTGAACAGTCACTTCCCATTTTTGAGAAGCAGATGCTCAACAGAACAGTTCATCGCACCAGGTCAATGTATACCAAGGAAGGTTTAGCAGTCCCAACATTGTTATGTTTACATTGCATAAACATGGGTAGGTCTTTCATGGCTACGTGTCACGAACCGTGCTTTATCTCAGGCCAAGTTGCTTGTACGTCCTTGCCTAGTCTACAAATTCCAGTCACAGGATCACTTTGTTATGCTATTCCTTCAACAGGGACAATGAACACAGTCTACTTCAGAAATTTCTCCAAACAGGCCCATGCTGACAGAAAAGCAACACAGACAGAACATGGCCCTTTGAAACAACAGAGTCAGGGGTTAACATAATAATTTGGACAGCCTTTACTACAGGAATAGCAAGTTTGCAAACAGGGCCTGAATTCAAAGTACTTTCATTATGATGTTGACGACTATTGACAATGTTGATGGGAGCCTACACCAGAGCTGACATCTAAATCTGGTTAATGCACCGTCGCTTTCTGGAGCATTACTAACACGCTTAAAATTGACTTATAATTATGGGTTCACCACACCACGAAGTGGTGGTGAACCCATATTGCTTTTTCTGATGTTTCTCCTCCTTCTTCTTCTTCTTCTTCTCCTCCTGCCATATCTTTAAATGGATTCAGCTTCTTCATTTTAGGGCCTAAGGTCCTGAAATTTGGTATGGAGGTACAGTGGGCAAATACCCCTAGGCGTTTTTAAATTTTTGTGATACAGGCTTTTAGAATGGTTTTATTTGAGTTTTTTGGCTGTGTTATAGCAAATGTATTACTGAGTTAGTGTGCAGTGTTACCACATTTGGGCATGAGTCATCACAATGGAATGCAGGCATCAACCAATAGGCATGCAGCTTTCCTCTATTCTCCTTGCTGATTGGCTGTTAGAATTTAACAGGCTTAACTTAATTAATACCTGCACAGAGCCATTCCATACTGACAGTATGTCTGTATTCAAGTGTTTTGGTAGGTATTTTAAGCTTTCCTGCTCCAGCATTGGAATGCGGGGCATGAACGCTTCTTTTTTTCTTGAAAATCAACAGTTTGCATTATGCAATTAAAAATCCTAACCAATAATGTAGGGAATAGCTATCCAACTGTTGTAGTCTTAGTTGTATGTTACTTCATACTATAGTTATATCAATGTAAAGCATTGTTTTCCCTTGTGTTTCTCATTCTTTCCCTGCCATGTCGTAAAATGTGGTGAAGCCATTGCTGTATTTGCTCCAAAGCAAATGTCGGCCTTTCTAGTTGCATTTTTGCTCCCTAACTCATATGCAGAATAAGATTTTGTATTGTAGCATAATTTGTACACGTTGAATGACTGTCCAACAAATCATCCTGACGTTTCAGGTGGAGAAATGAGCAGGTACATTCAATGATTCATATCAGGAACATTGCAGCCCCATTAACCAGTACAAATGATAATGTATAGCATAAATGATGGGTATATTCTACATGCTCTATATCATTCGTGGGCAGAGTAATGATACTTTGTCCCCTAACTGCCCTTACAGCATATGATGCTCACTTGTAGCATCATATGCTGTGTGTGATCACATGTGAATAAACATGGAGCAAAAACAAGTTGGATATGCAGGATGTTTACATTCATGCATGGAAGAGGCCATATTGTAATATGCATGATCTATTTTTTTCCGGATACTGCACATGACTCACGTCCACAGGTGTATGCAAAATTGCCCTTTTCAGACCTGAGAAGTGCCCACAATATCATGACAACTTACCTCAGCAGCTATCTGTACATGTTCTCCATTCAGTAGCACCACATCCACATACTTGTGGGAGGGGGGAAGGCTTCTCCTGGCCATGCCTACCTTGTCTTTGATCATGGTACACCAGGCTGCCCTTCCTTCACTTCCTGCACAGACAGGACACAAACACATAAACAATGGTCAGTATGGGGCCCGCTGGAACATCAGGTCAACAAAAGGGCAGCCATTTGCTAATGATGCATCATTGCTCTTGACCACGGCATAGATGTGCATAAAAGAACAGTAGCTGAGATACAAAAGGATAATCGTAAGTTCGTAACTGTTCATACATATTCTTCTGGCTGCATTTCTAGTCACTACTACCTAGAATCCTTACCAAATACATGCAGTGGACTCATCTTCGATTAAAGATAGAGCTGATCAAGATAGTCTAGTTGATGGCAGACAGTGATATGCAGAACTTAGCATCAGAAAAAGCAGCCAGAGCCTAGAGACAGAGGCTCTGTCAGTGAGTTAGGGACTCTCTTTTCTCTTCAGCCAACTAAAAATGTATGGAACCCTCTTACATTATGATATATGCCACTTCTCATCAAAGACATGTACATCTACAAAATGTAGTACTGTTAGTACATTTGTACAAATAAAAGCTTTCTTGATTTAAAAATGTGGTATAAGCCATTGATTTATGGCATGTAGACAACTTAGAGGAGCATTCTCTGTCCACACGGCGCCCTTTTCTATCTAGTACATGCATCACTGGTGGAATGGTTTATTTTGCCTTCACAAGGTCAACTGACAAGGTCGTGTGAGGAGAAGAAGGATAGCACTTCACCCTTTCAACCCACCCCGAATGGAAAAACAAGCTGTCTGATGACAGGCAACCAGCCCACAACAGGCTCTCTCACAATCACATTCAGGTAATTACCTAATGGCTATGGATAGCTCTTACTTAAGTCTATAAAAACATTAAGTAGCACTCTAACTAAGACAGCCTCCTAAATTCCACCCAAGGCCAGCCACACTGAATTGTATTATTGGTTCTTGCCAAAACTGTTTTTTTTGTTCAAATGGAACATAAAATGGTGAAAATGGGCATTGAAAAAGAGTTTCCTAAATAAGGATACATGAATAACCTAGTCTGTGCATATTAACATTTGGCCTTGCCAAAATCAAGGCACTAGCTCGTCAAGAACATAATGGCAAGAGTGACCCGATAGCAGAAAAGGGGCTTGTACTTATTTTTCAAAGGGGCAAAGCATATCAGAGATCACATTTCCAACATTTACGCATTACTCGACATGAAAGGACGGCATCTATTATTCATAAGATTGCATTAAGCACTGCTTCACCACTAGTAATACCCCGGGTACAGAGATGAGAGTTTTACTGACAGCAGTGATGATGTGCCCTGGGTAATAATATGGATCAGCGGCCCCTTGATTCAAGGCTGTCCAACTGTTCAGTGATGACTAATTTGGCTCCTTCACAAGCATGGCCTGGTGTCAGCTTTTATGGCACAGTCTCTACAGACTACTGAATACAGACATGGGAGAACACATGAGGAGCTACTGGGCTTGGCACATGAGATGTGGCTTTAATCAAAACCACAGTCACAGTCCCAAGGGGAGAAGGAAATAAACAGCACAGATTATGATAATAATAATTAGGGAAGGGAAACCTTAGCAAATTGAGGAGAGATTGACAACTGGTGGGCTGGAATGGTTTTTATCAAAACGTCTTCAAGATAAGCAACTTTGGTGGGTGATCTGGTAACAAATGTGAGCTTCTAACCTTAAATGGTAAAAAAAAAAAACAACTTTCACTATTAATTACCTTCCTATGAAGATAACGATTTGATCTGATGAAAAAAGTCTCCAGCCTGACACCCATGGAGAGTGACCCAGATGGACAAAAAAAGAAAACATGTTCAACATGTATCGGCAGTCAGCTTCGGAAGGATGCAGATGGCATACACCAACCTGATCTAGCTCTCCTTGTCTCCAACATTTCCTCAGATTCGTTACTGCAGCAGAAGTTGGAAGGACGAGTAATATATAGTCTCTTCAGTCTCTTCCTCGAGCAGTGCTCTGGCCAGACAAAGGCAGCTCCACTACTGCAAACCAACAGCTGCACCAGCCTTGGGCCAGACGTGAGACCTCATTGTCAACCCATCTACACAGGCATAAGGCCTGCATTAGGCCCAGGGTGAGGCCAGTAAATTGCACATGTATCATGCACAGTGTAGACTCAGATAACAGCGACATGGTCCAACTCCCTCCAATCATTACCTGCTCCTCTTACCTTGGACAAAAACTGGAGTCATGAACCGTGGCCTGGAGACCTTACAACAAATGAGAGCATGACTGAAGCACATGCAGCAAGGGTGATATGCAACAAGGGTGATAATTGGCATCCTGGAGAGCAACAGAATTACTGAGTTCTGTAATGTCCAGGAGTATCTATACAGATGTATCTCAATAATAGCAATCTTCAGAACAGGAAAGTATTTGGGCATAACCATGATGAAGTGAATTGTGCAGTTAACTTAAATGCGATTGTTATCTGAAGAAAATGCCCAGAAGTTCCTGGAGAGTTCTTCTGCAATTTGTTTATAAGGAAATCCCATTTCTTTCAGAACAAACCGCCTGTGCCCCCGTGGCCCACATGTACAGGAAAGGCAAGACCTCTTTGCTCCAAGAGGTCAAAAACTGAAAGGGGAAACCCAGTACTCAAGGACGTATCAAGCTCCTGAATCATTCCAATTGCCGGGAGTGGCTTCAAACTGGAAAATGCAAACTTTCCCAACCACTTCCACATAAGTAACCCAAGGGTCGGAAATAACACTACAACAGCACCTGCAGCACATTACCCAGTCGAAACGGAAGCCAGCGCAGGGCAGCCTTGTGGCAAGTCACTGAACCTCTAACCCACCACTCCTGACAAACGCAGCCATCAGTGTTTACCTTCCTGTCTGTACCCTCTCCGACAGGGAAAGCTCTTTGCGCAAACACTCCAGGCCATGGATACATGGACTTCAGCCAGGCAAGCTCTTCTCAGAAAGGAGGAATCCCCAGCCGAAGAAAAACAGGGCTTACTTAGGACTTGTGGATGCCCCTCTTCCACCAGAGCATAATTAGAAGTGGGAAGTTGAACCCCTGCAGAAGATGTTTGTGTCCCAGCCTCCTCTGTTTGCTAGAAGGGGGATGTCAAAACAAAGGCTGGGCAGCCTTAAAACTAGAGGCAAGGCCAATGGGACTGGACCAGATATTACAGGCCTCTCCGCTTACAGGTTCAAATATTTGTGCCCTGGCCCTTCAAAGAAACCAGCAGATAGCAAGCCAACATCATCGGGATTTCCGACAACTTGTCAATGAAGAAATGATGGTTGGCAGTAAGCCACGAGCGACTGTGCCTGCCATATAAAGTAAGGGACAGGGAATAATGTGATGGAAAATAGATACAGTGGAGAAGAGAGAGGTCGTCAGAACTAGTTTTCAGAGATTCCGCCATTCCAGAAAACTGAAAACAAACCAGCTGGGTTAGGACAAAATGGCTTGTTAATCTCCAAGAAGTAACTAGACACTTGGTATCAGCTTCCTGAAGATATGGAAGGAGTTTAGAGGAGTCCCCCTGAGCGAAGACTGGGAAGTGAGACATAACACCAACATGCCGCCAGGAAAACCACTCCCCTGCCAAGGGTGTCAGGTTGAAGGGAAAGGATATCTCTCTTAAGGACTCCACATTTGAAAATTAAATTACATGTGCCATGCTGTTAAATGGGCCCAACTTATGTTATAGTCTGGTGTATATTTCAAGAATTAAGGATATAGCAGGCAAATGGCATAAGCTAAAGAAGATACTTCAAGCGTACAATTCTAGAAATATAATCATTTCTCCATCCAGTTAGACATTCATAAGAAGCACAATCTTGATTTTAAAGATCTGCAGGACCTATTACTAGTATTAGCTGCATGCCCCATTGGAAGAAGCTCCCCAGAGAGCCAACAAAGAATGATTGACTGGTCTTCTGTGAGTACATAAAGTGACTTTTCCACAACTCACCATGCCGCTATCCGGGGACTTGGCACAAAAAAGTACTGAAGTGGGATCTTTAAAAATGGTAGCTGATTATCTCAGGCTATTCTTACCTTGTACGGCAACAAAGGAAGAAGTGGCTGACATGACCTACATGTAAAACACACCACACAGAGCTGCTTGCTATTCAAAGAGCCACTCCACAGACCTCTGCCCGCAGACTGCAGCAACACAGGCCGTGCTGCACCAAATTATTTGGGGATTTGCTGGCTTTTCTGGGTCTTCAACATGACCCTGGGGTACAGATTCGTTTCAATTATGCTCTTATTCATGTCCTCCTTGAATTCACAAGTAGCCAAGTACTTATCACAGCTATACCGAGTGGTTGACTACAAATAGATTTTGAATCTACAGCCCATAGCAGAATTATAAGAGATTTAAAAGAGGAAACTCTAGCAGTAATGAACAGAGCAATTCAATGGCTATTGTCAATAAGGTTACAATTGTTTCAGGTGTGACCAATTTTCACAAAGGCAAAGAAAACTATCACTCTAAAAATGGAAGAACAAAAGATCTGGCAACAATGACATACAACAAAGGGCATACCATTCTACAAGATGGGAAAAGGCCCAATGCTTAATACAATCAAATCAAGAAACAATACAACTGTTGGACATAACTGTTCTAAGGAAATTACCTCAAAAGTTTCCTTCCTTCCTTGTATGCTTCATAAATGGTCAAAACCACATCCTGTGTTTCAAGAAAGAACCCGTCATATCTGCTTCCAAGATATGGGGGAAGTTATGGCCTCCTCATCAGGGTTCTTTTTTAAACCCATGTACCGACGAAATGCCTACTACCATGTTACAGACTTGAGAGATATTTGCTAGAGCTTGTCCCATACTTCCTGCAGTACTGAAGCTAACACCTCAGCTGCCTACATGCCATCTGCCCAGGCCATATGTGAGGGACAGGTCCTGAGGGACCAGGTTAGCTGCATTCCTGTCATGCTTACTGAGCACAGCAATATTTTCCTGGGGCAGAACATGCAGAAAATGCTTCCTTCAAAAGTCATCAAATCCACTCGTACTGGCTTAGGGCGCTCTTCAAAGTCTGAATTGATTTTTACCAAGCTGAAGTGCTCTCTCTTGGCTAATAAGGATCTTCCAATGGAGCAACTTGTTGAAAAAAATTCCTGCCAGGGCAAGAAATATTGGCCCACGTGTAACTTCTGACACCTTTCTTTTCTACTGCTATTCATCAGTGTGTTTTAAGAGCCCCTGTTACATGTAATTCTGCCATTATTCTCACATTTTAGGTGCTACCTGTCTTCCCCATTGAATGTTTTTTTATTTCCACATAACACTATAATCAGCAGCCCTACAGGCATAGTAGAATGCATCTCAGTATTGAGGAGGTTTCAACTAGACTCTAACTGATCCTGTCTGTCTGACAACAAGTTTGCAGAGACTGAGAGAGTAAAATTCTGCTGTATTATAATAACCTTATTCCCAAGAAATGCAATCTTACAAAAACTTTAAGGTTGCCAAAATATCTCCAAACACCAAGAGTAAAATACCTGTGTACTGTAGTGTGTAGTGTCTCAGCAAGGAGTGCTTGTTACCTGAAGCAACACTTGGATGCAAATGATCCCCTATGAGTGCCTGTGTCTTTTATGAATTGCCACAGGTAAGAAGACAATAGGTATTGTGACAGACCACTCACTCTACTGAATAGGTCACATAGTTTAATTCACTCTCTTTTCTGCCTGATGCTTGTCTAATTGGCTGAATTGCAAGATAAACATGGGTGGATACACCCCAATTACCAAGGGTCTGTGAAGTGTACATCCTCTCTCCAATTCTACAAATAGAGAAGTAGTTATTTCAAGTCACTAGGGTTACTTGACAGATATGACACAGATTCTATGTTAGTGTTGCAGTTCTATTCCTGGGATGCTGGAGAGACACCAATCATTCTATTACACCTATCTATGGAAATTTTTCAGATAAAGCTATTAATGAAGGAAGGCTTGAAACTGAAATTTGCAACCAAATCTGGCTCAGGTAATGAAGTAGCTGCTCCAGTTATCACTACAAAAATAAACAATTAGGTATTGGAACTGAGCAAATTGACTTTTCCTCCATGTTGACATTCCTTGTTTGTCACAGACAGTAACAGAAACATTTTGTGAAGATGACCCATTGGCGGAGTGTACCTCGAAGGCACCTTTTTTCCTGCTGGCTCTTTTTTTCTCTGTGTGTGGTCAAATGGTTGTACCATGTGTTAGCAGCACTCTTCCCTCCATGTTGCCCAAAAATCTGTGGCCTAAAAAAACTAATTGGCACAGTTGGACTCCTTCAGGATTCGACTTCTGCCCATTTCTGTTTACTCTTCTTCACTCCATTACTGGCATTTTAGAACAGTCGTTGAGAACAGTACCTAATCTTACTTACATACTTTTTCAACTGCACTTCAAACAACTGAGTACAGTACATGCTACAACACAATGGCAGCTGACATCCAATCCCACCCTGTTGACAGCCTGGGGCTTGAAAAGGCCTGCGTAAATCAATAGGTAAACACACCTACGATATCACTTTACAATGCCGAGGCCTTTGGGCAATTTCAATCAGATACACATAATCCATGTTCTGGAAACTAATGGAACTTCTTGAAAGTAAAGATTCATAATCAAAGGTGACACTCTCCTCCCCTCAATAATCAAATATTTAAAAAAAAAATATGGGAGAAAATCGAATAGGGCCAGCAAAAAAGCAGGTGTCCTACCGCAGGTACAAGACTGGTCATTTTTAGAACCTATAATTTATTTTTGTTTCTGACTTTGGGAGCTTTTCAACCTAAAAACAACATTTGTATGGCCTTCCAAAAAGACATACCTTCGTCTGTATCAAAAATTAGCCTGGTTTGACGTTAGGCAACTGCACTTTCGGCTAACTCTGCTCCGGCGCACAAAGGAAAAATTATTCCACCGATTGTGCGACTGGGCGTGTGTCATAAACTAGTTATTCCACCCGGTGTCCACACCCACCCACTAATCGATTCCACATACTTTTGAACGTCCTTGTTTGGGCAACTGACAAGGTGGGAGGAAGTCTACTTGAGGAAGTTCCCCTGTGTACTGTACATAAACAAAAACCTGACGATGCAATATTATATTCACCAGCTTTCAAATGCTTATGAACTTCAAGTCCAAAAGAACCAAGGCCACTTACGTGACCTTGACATAACTTGGCCTGCACTTCTTGACCCTAATTTACAATTACAGGAGCTTCTCTCTCATTTCCACGTTAGATTATAACAAATTACACATAAACTGATTTGAAGGTACTCTGAGAAACGAACGGTGACGCCAAAAAGCATCCCAAATTTTCAAGAATAAGATGTACCACAGACTTCGTGTTGTCTCACCAGAAACATAAATCTGTGTGAAACTATTCATCACGAAGATTCCCCCGGGGGGGTCGGATCGCGCTAACGGCTAACCAGCTAACGGTGCGCGGTACCCAAAATACGAAAATCTACCGCGGACACCACGAGGCACAATTAACATTGGCGACAAAGAAAACCACAAACCTAAAAGAGAGGAACTGATCGTACCCATAACAATGACAATACCTTGTGGAAACGACGAGCAAAAGACGGACGGTAGACACAGAGAAGCAACAAGAAGAAGCTCCGAAAACGCTAGGTATGTTTTGCTCACCTTTTACAGGCTCTCGGTTCAGATCGACCACAAGAAAATGTCGTCCGTTCTTGTCTGTATATTTCTCAGCAACTGAGGAGCTATTTCCACATCCTGGGGATGCCTTTTGATCTTCAAATCTGCACGAGATCGATGATTCACCCAAATTGTGACACACACAGGCGGCCGCCTGGCTAACACTCACCGCTTCGGCCTTCCCGCAGTTTGTATTGTCAACGGTAGGGACAACTGATTACATATTCAGCAACTCACATTCGGATGCGTAAAGTAATGATAATGCATATAAAATGGTGATACCTTTGTTCATCATAATGATAGAAATTGTCATTTGTAGAGGTAATACATATTTTGTATTGGTAAAGTTTAATAATTTGCCGTAACTGTTGATTTTTACTTTGATTTTGACGAAGTGTAATGATGCTCCGAATAAGAAACTTATTATTCGATGACGATCACCCTACCCAAGCATGGCGGCCTCCTTGAACAGCTGATTCTACAATCACACAAGACTTTTTGTGCTCCCTTCCTTACTCACAGTCTAACTCGCCAACCGTGGCAATGCTAGAACGTGAAACCTAGCCGTACTTTGCGATGGAAGGGATCCTGTCTCGTATAGAGCTTGCCCTGGCAAATCTGTCGTTGTCATGTGACGATCTGGGCCCGACTGCCTCCCCTGGCGCTTCTTCTTTGATCCAGACCCTCGAAATCTTTCGCCAGTTTCACAGGTATGTAACATGCGAATCAAAGACTTGGCAAGCATCAACAGGGGTGCATGTCTGCTCGATTTAAAAGGTGCATGGATGTTTTTGGAAGGTAGCATGTAAAACAGCACGAGGTCGACAGGAGGCGCTGATGTAAAGTAAGTAGCCAACAAAATACGGTAAATCCTTATTTGGTCATAAGAGGACTCATTGTTGGCAATGGTTGCTGACATTGCTGATGAACAGTTGTGACGGCAGTACTGATGAAATTGTGAATAAACATTAAAGTACAAGATTGGCCGAGTTTTCAAACTTACATCAATACAGGCGATTGCCATGACAGGTGGTAACGGGCCCGTTAGGCAAAAAATTGTGCGGAAGTTGGGTGATTTGCACACCAATAATTTTGCATATGAGTATACCAGTAATTAGTTCTTGACGTATGTCAAAGCCGGCCGATTACACGCAGGAAATATTTGATGTTCAGTTTTCATATGCTCACGTGTGTATGCAGTTTTCATACATCAGGTTTTTGTCCGCATCATGTGAAAATCGGGTCAATGAGTGTTACATGATATTTGGAAATTTGACAGAGCGGTTGGCTTGTCAACATTTTTCAGGGAATCTGAGGACAACAAGAAGCAGGTGCTCCTGGACCAGCTCCACAAACAGTTGGTGCCCCTGAGGGAGCTCCCACAATGCACCAGTCAACTGGAGGCTGTCCAGGCCCTGAGCGACGGGGTCTGCCGACTGTACTTTCAACATGTAGGACAGAACAGGAACGTTGCAAAAAGAGCTGTCAAGGTCTGTATATTGTACTGAAACTACTCTGAAACATAAGACTTATCACTTCTAAAATTCATTGTACTTGATGATATGTTCAAATATAGTATTTAGTGATGGTTTGGTTATGCACTATAATACAAAATGTATTCATAAAATGCAAGTTAGCCTGTTTTATTTTACATATAGCTTTTTGTAATTATAAAATGTTAGTTTATTCATAAAACATTGTAGACATATCATTGGTATGATAGATAAGTTTGATTTATTAGAAGGATACACATGACTCTAAATTATTTAATGTTTAATTTCTATGCTGTTACTTTCATTCATACATTGTACAATGTACATTGTACCATATTTGTGGTGTTGTTTTTCAGGTCCTGAAGGTGCTGCACAAACTAGATAAGTCAAGCATCGCCTCAAGACTTAAGGAAGAATGGAATCTTCTTCTTACAGATGTGTGGTCTTTAAGTGACCTCCAGAAAGGTGGGTTTGGTTAAAAAATTTAGCAAAGCACATACAACAGATAACTTTGGGATAAGCAATACCACATTGTGATTGCTATGGAATGTGTAGATATTACTGTTAAAAGTAGTCAATCTGATTATTCTGCTGTTCTTTAGTATTCCAGTTATTGGACGAGCCAGTTCTAGTCAGGGAATACATTCAGGATTTGTGGCCTCAGCTTCTGCTCAGTTTGGCTGGGACCTGGCAGCAACTCCACCTAGAGATCAGCTCCAGTACTGCACCAGCACTGATGATTGACAGGTGCTATTTAGCCACAAAGGTTAGAGGACTCCTGGGTTTTACTATCAGACATTTTTAAAATGCACAGTGTAACATCAATTAACGTAATGTGCTAGACTAGGATTTTTTTGTTTGAGGTCCAATTCGCCAACTTGAATCAAGTTAATTCTACCATTTCATCTTCATTGAACAGGATGTGTCTTTCCCTTTTAGATCTCCTTGCAGCTGTTCCAGGTGCTTTCCTCAGGTGATGTTGGAATACAGCAGGTGTGTGAAGTGGGGACAGACACACCTGCCATCCATGTCATCAGTAGCACCCTGCTGGAAGTCATCTTCAGCCAGGTAAGGGTTTCTACATGCATAAGTCACTTCCCTAGCATTACACACAGGTTTTGCAGGCATGCAGTGTGTTTGTTTGTATTGTTGGAAGTGTTGGACAATCTTGTTTTTAATGTTAATTTTACATCACCATACAAACAACCACTAAACAAAACACATTACATTTTGCAGGTTTGCAGTCTGGACTGTAAGCTGTTTGCCTCAAATGCTTTGGGTTTCTTGTTAAACATGTCAAGCAACCTCAAGGAGGCAGCAGGAACTGCCAATAAACTTACACAAGCACCAGGTGTGTTGTGAAACTTTTCCTCTGTACTCTGAGTCTTATACAAATTACATGTGTAATTATATAAGTAAAAAAATTACTCACAATTATTAATCCACTTGTTACAAAATGTATTGATTCTTCTCTTGATAATTCAAAAATTTGTGTCAGTGTGCGCCGTAATTCTGGCTCATTTTAGGACTTCATATTTTGTTTGCAGAAAAAGAAGGACATCAAACAGTGTCCACTGGAGATCTAAGGTTCGAGGTGACTGTTCCCAGGCTCACTGCTACTGACCAGTCCTGGTGTCAGGTAGTACTGGTCAGGGGACTGCTCACCTGTGTTAGACTGGACATCCTGCTCCAACAGGTGCAGGACAGTCAAACACACCAACAGGTAGATACAACACCTGTATGTAATTACCTATGTATATAATAAGATGAACTGACATATCAGGCAGAAGACTGTAACTTGTTGTGTGTATACTGCTCTTCTGGCAAATACTAACAAAACATGTCACTGAGTATTTGATTAAATTATTACTATCAACAGACTTTCAAACAAAAGAGCATGATTTTAATAATGAAGAAAGGGTTTTGCCATTTGATGTTCTAATAACCAGTCCTGTTCACAATAATGACTGATGACTAGCGACTGCCAGCATAATGGAATATCTTCCTAACATTTATATAATCTAAACATTGTGTGTATTGGTGACCATTGTGCTCCCCTAAATCATCATGATTGTGTTTTCAACAGAAGAGTCTGTTCTTTGATGTCCTGTTTCCTCTGGTGACCAAGTTCTGTGGTGATGTTGGTGTCGGTGATATCCAGTATCACGCCTTCTATGGTAAATAGGACAAAAACTTTTCAATTTTCTTCACAGTGTAACATTGTACCTGCAGCTTCATGCTACAACATAATGATTGAGATGTTAAGCTTTGTTTGAAGATGACAATATTACTGAACAATCATAGACTCAAAGTTAAGCAGCAGTGAGAGATTATGTGAAGACTCAAATTCATCACTGGATAAACTATGATATTAGATAGGACTAGGGTTACTGTATTGTACAAGTGTAAAGTCATCTAAATTGGCCCTGTTTGCTCAAAGGGAGTGTTTGATGATGTCCAGTGGGACTGTGCACCATTCCCAGTGGCAGTTGTTTAAGCTGCTTGATTTGTACATTTCAGCTCTGGAACAGTGGCTGAAGAGAGCCAGGACAGATCTCCCCCACGTTCATGCCACCTCAGGGAGACATTTCCACACTGATGGACCCGTAACTACCACTGTGATGCAGTGTCTGTGGAACAACTGGGAAAATCCTGTAAGCAGACTGAACTGTCTGTGGAATGAATGTTCATATTCAAGTTGCTCTAAAAGTCTAAGACAAAAGCAAAATACCGGTATATGATGATTGTATTTTGGCATTACAAGGAGTGATGTGGGTGTGTGAAGGGATTATATTACAGACTGCAGCAACTTTCAATGGTAATTACTACTATAAGTATTACTATTAAGAGAATGACATTGAGGTACACTAAGTATAAAGTTGTCCACTCTTGTACATGCAGTGAACATATTTTCTAGTTAGCCTCTTGATGCACAATGTATGTCAAAGCTACTCACTGAACCATCTGCTTTTGTTGGTGTAGATTGTAGGAGTCCCAGACTTGGTAAAGTCTGCTTTTGGTTTGTTACTGGCCTTACATCAGGAGGAAAACACACTGGCTGGACATACACGCAGCATGGTAGGTAATGTACATGTAGATGAATTCATATACTAGTAACATAAAAACTTTCCATAAGATCTTTAAATGATTTTTGATTCATGTGAATACAGTGTTGTAGCTGGCTATGTACTTGTGAAACGGAGATAAAGACATACAGGACAGTCTGGTACATTGTACAGTAGTACCAAGCCCAAGCCTTTTTTCTTTTAGAAAATTGAAATTTTAACAGTTGGAAAGTCCTTCTGTTGCTCACTGACATGTCACAGAAATATACCTCCTGCCCATTACATGTGTTTCAGCTGTTTGAGGACCTGTTTGTGAAGCTAGCAGGAACATCCTGGCATGTGAAGGGCAGATACATCCTTCTGGTGGAGCTCATCCCTTATGTGCAGGTGTTACAGGTTAGTCTGACACCACTCTGCACTCACAAACTAAGGTTGTCATGGGTATTGTCAAAAGAATGGACTTCTGAAACCTGTATGGTGAATAGAAATGATGATTAAATTAATTTTGCCTTTATGTTTTTCTTACCAACATGCTGATGTAAAATAACTTTAGAGTGGAGTAGTTTTAACATTGTGCATTTGTCCTGGATTGGTTTGTCACACCAGGTGCTGAGGAGCCAAAACCACATCCCCACCCAGCTGGTACAGGCACTGTCCACCAATCACATCGCTCCTGCCAGCTCAGATGTGTACAGGGCCTTCCTGGTGGCAACTAGGTAACACTGATGGAAGAACTGGGGGGGGGGGGGGGAACCTCTGGTAGAAGTCTCTGTTAGAAATAAGGTTAATTACAAGACATCAACTTCCTGTTCATTGGAGCTGGCTTTAGAAAGTCTGCAGAATACAAAATATGTAGCTACATATATACTGCAATGTGACATTTAGCTAAAATATTGTACCTGTATTAAGGTACTAAAGCAATATTATTAAGTATTTTTTCAATAAAAGGGTAATCCACCTGAGCTCATGGTTTTATGGGCACAGCAACCTGTTTTCATAGTACAATCTGTATTGTTCATCCAGTTGTATCATTTCAGGGAAGCATATCAGAAAGACGAGACGGCCGCAGCTGAAGTCTGGAGGGACGTCTGGCTGGAAACATTCATGTCTGCCATTTGCAACACAAATCAGTAAGGATATATGTCTTTTTTTTATTGACTTTGTTCACTGTCAATTGGCCAAGCTGGTAGTAGTAGGCTTACTTCTATTTGGAAAGATAGTGCAGGCAGTGCAAGCAATTTTTGTCCCATAGCCTGTCCCATAGCCTCTGGGTACCAGCCAGCTCTGTCCTCTGTTGTTCTTACAGTATATGCTATACATATACATATATGATATGCTATATCATGTCAACTCCATCTTCATTTTAACTGTTGCAAAATACTGACAGAGATTATTTGTTCTTGTTTTGTTTGCCCCAGCCTGATACGACACAATGCTATGCAGCACTGGGTCCCCTGCACCCTGCGGCTGTTTCCCCAGGTGTTGTCAGTCATCACCACACGACTACAGGACAGGACATGTCTGGTCTCCGGTACCATCAGGCTCAGGGCACACATGGCAGTACTCAAGGCTGCCAGAACTCTCAACATTGTGTCCACCCATGATATGGTAATATTCACTGCAACAGTGATATTGATTACATGTTAATATACAAAAAAATGTTGAACATGAATTATTTGGTTATGGATTCCAGCCTAAGTACAAATGTACCAAAGCACTTTTCAAGTTTAGATATTTGTTTCATGAATTTAGAAAGCACAAAATAAAATGTTTTATATTGATGTCATTTGCAAAGAAAGAAGATACAGTTGTTTGCTATTCTCAGTTTAAAGTGCTGTCTCTCCCATCCTTCACTGTTGGCAATTTTTCTTCATGTATAAAAGTTCAAAATTTATTTTGCACTAATTGCAAAATACTTTAGGTGAATAGTCTATCAAACTTTTTATCTCTTACCTTAACTCCCACCAGGCCAGTGATGTGATCAGGGAGGCCCTGTGGCACAGTGAGGAGGACGTCAGGGCAGAGGCTTTCTCCATCATCTGCTCCCATCCTAAGAAATCAGGTGGGATCTTTTACCAACAATGGCCTACATGTACTTTGTGGTATTCATAGTAGCTGTTCAAGTATACATGCAGGTGTAGAACTTGCAGTAAGTTACAGCACATAACTACTGTTGGCAGGAACAGACTGTGTGTTTAATGTTACCTTATTTCAAAACCATTTGGAATTATATGGATGTCCAATTAGAAGAAGAGAGATTATCTTTCCATGGGACTTTTGAAGAATCTTAAAAACTGACAAATTGTATCATCTAAAAATTATTATATAGATTAAGCATGTGGACTGTGAGAAATGTGGTCAGTGCACAAATTGCTTGTTTCGTGCACATTAATCTAGTAAATGAGGTTATTAGGACTCTTTAAGTGTCTCTTGTAGATTTGCACTGTTCATCTCTTGCCTGCACAACGGTCTTATAATGATCTTGAAAGGAAGTTTGAGGTTTAAAGTAAGAAGTATGTTTATCTGGCAGGCAATCTCGGTTCTCTGTCCTAAGACAGTTTCGTTCTTTAACTAACAAGGTGTTTGATTGATCTACACTTGTGTCCTCAAATAACCTCACCTCAAACTGGATCCCCTCACTACCTCCATCCCCACCGCTGTCAATCAACTTGCTCACAAACTTAAAAGAATTGGTGTGTTTCCCCCATGTTAAGATGAAGCTAGTTGCTAAACAGTAACAATTGTTCCTTAATTGTACAGCAGCATGTCGCTTACTATTTATCTGACTCAATTCCTGCCATTTCCAGCCTGTGATAACCACTCCATTGAAAGAGAGTCATTAGCACATCTCATGTAGCAGGTAATAAGGGAGAGAGAAGATTGCTATGAGCCTAGTTTTGCCAGGAAGCTTTAGGGGGAAGCGATTCATCATTCTGGGAGAAGTACATGGAACTAAATGAAGTCATATATCACAGCCTTCAAGGACTGCCAATAGTTTGTCTCTCTTGCCATTCCATGTAAGATGATAAGATGACACAAAATTTGTAAAAGTTCCCAGAGGACACATTTACCAAGACATGAAGCATCACAGTACATATAGCTAGAGGCAGATAAGGGCAGTCACATTAAGCTACATCAGCAATTATTGGCATCCTTTGTCAAAAGTCATTATTTTAAGCTAAATGACAAGGTTCAAGTGTTATTTACAATTGTGACAAGTTGCTCTTCACATTGACCTTGAAGTTGTTAACAGCCAGTATAAGCCCACTGCTCTTTACCAGGATGACACCCATTTATCAATTTGTTACAACACAAAGTTTTGAAATAACTATTTGACGTGAAATGTATATATAGGAAATCTTTTCATTCCACTTAGCTCCGACCTTAATCCTACTTTCATATTGTCAAGTACATATACCATGAATAATGAATGGTCAACATATTGTGAAAGTCACCAGATGGTTTTGTTGTTGTCAGAGTTTTGCTTACTAACTTTGTTTTGTTTGATATTTATTACTCCGTGAAGGAGGTCAGGACCTCCGGACGGAGTGTTGTAATCGGCTGATTTTTCATGTTCGCAGTCAAAACACTGGGTTCTCTTTGTGTAATCGGCACGCAATTTTATACGCCGTCTGCGGGCATGCCCGTGTTGATGCACGAATGTGTATTTTTGCCGTTGCTGCTTTCGCGGTCAATGTAATATCGCAGACGCACCCCTACAATTACGAGGCGAATTGGAATGGTCCAGAAAAACGCGTTGTTTGGAATAGCAGTGGGGTTCAAAAAAGTTCATGCAGATACGGGGTGGTTTTTATAAGTGGTTCCAGATGTTTTTGCCCATGGTTAAGAGATGCCAAGTTTTTTGGAAGATGTTCGCAGCCAAAACGCATTCCCCCGTACGTCGCATTTCTGTGTAATTTCGCATGTGGTGTTGCATTATGTCCGGGATGATGCACGTCTTTTTATTTTTACCGTAGCTGTTTTGATATTGGAGTAAATGCTTATTTTCGAAACATCCCCATTTCTTTGAAATGGTTTCGTCCGTTTATGCAACTGTTACTGCGCTAATGACGACCAGTCGCGCTGTCCTGATACACCGCGAATGTGCGAGTGTTCCCTGTAGACAGTCCCGGGAGTCATTTTTTTGCACATTCCAGGAGCCAAACCAAAATACGTTCATGAACCGAGTCCAAAAAACCGAAACGTGAAAATCGGATGATCGGACCTGATGTACATTTCTCTTTCTATAGATTGTACACACAATACACACATCTTTAGATAATCTGGCCATGGCAGGTTAAAAAAAAGTAACCCTGAATCATACTAGATTAGCGTAAATGCATGTTAATGCGTTCAAAACAAGAAAAAAATTGTTTCCGGGTATTAATCT